CACTGTACCAAGCTACAGAGCACTGTACCATCGCTACAGAGCACTGTACCAAGCTACAGAGCACTGTACCAAGCTACAGAACACTGTACCATCGCTACAGAGCACTGTACCATCGCTACAGAGCACTGTACCATAGCTACAGAGCACTGTACCATCGCTACAGAGCACTGTACCATAGCTACAGAGCACTGTACCAAGCTACAGAGACACTGTACCATCGCTACAAAGCACTGTACCATAGCTACAGAGCACTGTACCATCGCTACAGAGCACCATACTACCACTCACCAAACTAGCCAGATGGTAAGGTAGTGGGTGTGTAAAGACTGACGTTGAGAGGAACACGCCATAAACGCCCCTATTACAGGCGCCATATTGGCGGGAATCCTATATGGGTGTTGAGAGAGACTTTCACCGCTGATATAAATGTTCATTTTGTTCCCTTTCTCAACAACGTGAGATTAGTGGTAGTGTTTGTCTGTCAGTGACCGCGGGGATTGAGCTCTAGCTCTCCATGCCCAGCTTACTGGCCTTGGTATTATTGGTATTATTAGAGTATAAGAACTCCTTAGTATGGGAACGAAGGATGGAATTGTCAGGAGAAAGCGCCAAGCCATAACGACTATATTGCATTTCGAATGGGTCAGGATAAGGATTTGGGGTGGGACGGGGGGAAGGAATGGTGGCCAACCACTTGGACGGTCGGGGATTGAACGCCGACCTGCATGAAGCGAGACCGTCGCTCTACCGTCCAGCTCAAGTGGTTGGGATCCTTAGTATGGCAGCTTATATTAGCGGAAGGATTCTCGTACATCATGCAGAGTAAAATCGAAGTAAATAACTGAGAGATATTAAGAGGTGTGAGAGTTGGGGTGTCGGCCGCAGGGCGGCGCGCGCGACGCGTTATATCCCAGCTGTACAAACCTGGCTCCAGTGTCCCGTCTGGTCCCTGGTGACGTGTTTTGTTGACCTTCCTCATCCCCTGGCGACGAGGCCGACTACTGTGTCTTGTCTCCCTGTCTCCTGTATCTTGAGGTTATCTTGAGATGATTTCGGGGCTTTAGTGTCCCCGCGGCCCGGTCCTTGACCAGGCCTCCACCCCCAGGAAGCAGCCCGTGACAGCTGACTAACACCTAGGAACCTATTTTACTGCTAGGTAACAGGGGCATAGGGTGAAAGAAACTCTGCCCATTTTTTCTCGCCGGCGCCTGGGATCGAACCCAGGACCACATGATCACAAGTCCAGCGTGCTGTCCGCTCGGCCGACCGGCTCCCATGTATGTCTGCTTCACTTTACACTCGAATTTACCCGAGGAATATCATCAGTCTAGCGGCCACGACGGGGGCAATAAGCCGGCGGCTTGTCACGGGGCCCCACCAGTTTTCCTGTATTTTTTTTTTCAAAATCGATTTTGAACTGTAGTAATTATTTTGTCATTTACGACTTGGGGTGATAAAGATCTCCATGGGTTTACAACCCTCCTCTGGAGTATTTACAACGCCACTAAAATGATGTGCTAAATTGCCCTAACCTAACCGAACCGAGGACCCACGGATAGAAAATGGGATATCACATCAATATTGTAGCTTTTTGGCCTTATGGCATTTGTACATCAAAATGCGATGTACTATAAGAGGGGAAAGGTTGAGGGGGGTTAATAAGCCTATAGGGTGGAAAAGCCTGTCCTGTTTCCTGCCCCACGTGGTGGCTTGTTGAGCTTGAACCCGTTGTTGGTCTTAGATCTGAACTTTTGAAAAAAAAAACTATCTACGGGCTCACCATAGCCCGTGTTACTTGGAACTTTTTGTTCCAGGTAGCGAATCTTTAACAACAACAACAACTGAACTTTTGAAGAAGTGGTCTGGATAAATATCCTCCAACTTGTTCAGTGTTTAAAGTTTCGATAAGATCCTCTCTGTTATGTCTAGTGGTTCTCCCTGTGGCCCTAGGGCCAGATTCACGAAGCAGTTACGCAAGCACTTACGGACCTGTACATCTTCTCTAAATCTTTGGCGGCTTTGTTTACAATTATTAAACAGTTAATGAGCTCCGAAGCACCAGGAGGCTGTTTATAACAATAACAACAGTTCATTTGAAAGTTCTCATGCTTGTAAACTGTCTAATAAATGTAACCAAAGCCGTCAAAGATTGAGGAACACGTTCGTAAGTGCTTGCATAAGTGCTTTCGTGAATCTGGCCCCTAGTCCGTAGTATGAGAGTCTACTCAGGTCTGGGATTTTTGTCGATCTGTGTTATACCTTCTCCAGGGCTAGTGTATTCTTCTGAACACCAGGGGCCAGATTCACGAAGCAGATACGCAAGTACTGACGAACCTGTACATCTTTCCTTAGTCTTTGACGGCTTTGGTTACATTTATTAAACAGTTTACAAGCATGAAAGCTTCCCATTCAACTGTTGTTATTGTTATAAACAGCCTCCTGGTGCTTCGGAGCTCATTAACTGTTTAATAATTGTAAACAAAGCCGCCAAAGATTGAGAAAAGATGTACAGGTTCGTAAGTGTTTGCGTAACTGCTTCGTGAATCTGGCCACAGGTCTGCTTGCTGGGGTACCGTAGTCTAATGGGATGCACACTGGTACTGTTGAATAATCATCTTCTTTTCCTTAAAGTCAAAGGTTCATTTGACTATCTTAGGGTTTCGTTGACTTGTTTTCAATTGTCAGTTCCCACTCGTGGAACTGTCAATGATTAGTGGATTCTCACCCCCCAAATTCTTCGAGAAAATCAGGGGGATTCGAACCCGTTCGCTTGGTACCCCTGTTCCTGTGATAGTGTTGCTGATTTGATACTTGTGTTTTGTTATGCCCCACATGCAACGGTGGGCATTTTGAAAACTAAAGTACATTTGTCGGTCTTATAACCATTTGTAGCATTCATGTAGATCTCTTTGTAAGGCCTCAATAGCATTTTCGCTTTATATGTTGCCATAGATCTTAGTGTCATCTACAAATTTGATGAAAAATGTGATGAAAAACCACATTGAAAAAATGTGAGAATGCTGAACGCGTTTTCGGCCAGTGTATATATAGCCCTTCCTGAGAGCAAGACACCAAGCATACACATGTATATACAATGTGTGTGTATGTCTCTCTGTAGGAGGTATACTGAGATATATGTATCGGGTGAGGAAGCAGCGTGTTGTGATGCACCAAGTGGCACACAATAGTTGTGTTGTGTGATAGGCTGCGGGTCGTAAATGGTTCGAGTGCGTTGTTTCCAGTCATTAGATTCACCAGCCTTAATTGGCACGGCTGAAAGCCTGCTGTACCGCTGTAACCATTGATGGGTGTGTACGTCTTCCCCCCCCCACCCCTTGAAGACGGGTTGTTTGGTGGCCCCCTTGTTTGGTGGCCGCTTGTTTGGTGGCCCCTTGTTTGGTGGTCCCCTTGTTTGGTGGCCCCCTTGTTTGCTGGTCCCCTTGTTTGGTGGTCCCCTTGTTTGGTGGTCCCCTTGTTTGGTGGTCCCTTGTTTGGTGGTCCCTTGTTTGGTGGCCCCTTGTTTGGTCGCCCATTCTTTGGTGACTTGTTTGGTGGGCCCTTTGTTTGGTGGCCCCTTGTTTGATGGCCCCTTGTTTCGTGGCCCTTGTTTGGTGGGCCCTTTGTTTGGTGGCCCCTTGTTTGGTGGCCCCTTGTTTGGTGGCCGCCTTGTTTGGTGGCCCCCTTGTTTGGTGGGCCCTTTGTTTGGTGGGCCCTTGTTTGGTGGCCCCTTGTTTGGTGGCCGCCTTGTTTGGTGGCCCCCTTGTTTGGTGGGCCCTTGTTTGGTGGCCGCCTTGTTTGGTGGCCCCTTGTTTGGTGGCCCCTTGTTTGGTGGCCCCCTTGTTTGGTGGCCCCTTGTTTGGTGGCCCCTTGTTTGGTGGCCCCTTGTTTGGTGGCCCCTTGTTTGGTGGCCCCTTGTTTGGTGGCCCCTTGTTTGGTGGCCCCTTGTTTGGTGGCCCCTTGTTTGGTGGCCCCTTGTTTGGTGGCCCCTTGTTTGGTGGCCCCTTGTTTGGTGGCCCCTTGTTTGGTGGCCCCTTGTTTGGTGGCCCCTTGTTTGGTGGCCCCTTGTTTGGTGGCCCCTTGTTTGGTGGTCCCCTTGTTTGGTGGCCCTCTTGTTTGCTGGTCCCCTTGTTTGCTGGTCCCCTTGTTTGCTGGCCCCCTTGTTTGGTGGTCCCTTGTTTGGTGGCCCCTTGTTTGGTCGCCCATTCTTTGGTGACTTGTTTGGTGGGCCCTTTGTTTGGTGGCCCCTTGTTTGATGGCCCCTTGTTTCGTGGCCCTTGTTTGGTGGGCCCTTTGTTTGGTGGCCCCTTGTTTGGTGGCCCCTTGTTTGGTGGCCCCTTGTTTGGTGGCCCCTTGTTTGGTGGCCCCTTGTTTGGTGGCCCCCTTGTTTGGTGGCCCCTTGTTTGGTGGCCCCTTGTTTGGTGGCCCCTTGTTTGGTGGCCCCTTGTTTGGTGGCCCCCTTGTTTGGTGGCCCCTTGTTTGGCGTCCCCAATTACTTAATGTCTCTAGTCCATAATATTAAGAGGTATAATAAAGTATCACTAGAGGAAGCAATTAACACCGTCATTATCACAGTCATTATATACAGGTCAACGGGCGATTGCACATTATTAAAAAAAATCAATTAAGATCCCAATTCCACTATACAGGACCTGCTTGGTGAGCCACACACAAGATTATCATATTATAATCACCACAAGAAAAAGAGTTGACCGTGAACTCTAGCAGTGTGAGACCCGAAGGTGTGTGGAGAGAGCCCGCGACCCGTCCTCCCCTCTAAGTCCATTCCATCCAGCGGTCGACCCCACAGACGCATTCATAAATTTTTATATGTACATTTAATTTCGGGAACAAGTGCTTCACTGACGACTTTTGTTCGATGATATATATATATATATAGATATATGTGTATGTGTATATATATATATATATATATATATATATATATATATATATATATATATATATAGTGACGGTAACGCGTTGGTGTTCGGCTGTTTCAAAAGCTAGGGGTATGGCCTCGTCACATAAAGAAAAAAAGAGAAAATCTGGAACTTTCGTCTGTGGTAAGGTAATGGGAAGACACACAAAACGCAAGTAAATTTAACAATGAAATTTTAATTACGTTAGAAAAGCAAAACATGAATAAAATTGAGTATAAAATGTAACAGACAAATCAACAAACAAAATAATAAGAATAATCACTGGCAAATGAAAAGTTACGTTAAGACAAGTGAATAATAGCAAAGTAAATAATAGTGCAGGAATATTGGCTTCAAGCTGCCACCTCCCTTAGTACACGCAAGCCAAGGCTTAGTCTACCAATGAGACGTGTCAACTGTGTGGAGCACTGAGATATTCTGCCTTCTCTAGGTCGCTGTAGCCCAGACATCAACTTGTGGAGGAGGGTGGTGGGGCAGGTGCGACTGGGCACCAGCCAATCAGCGACAGGCAGGCGATGGACAAGCAGTTTGCCGGTTAACGGTGGCGGGGGCGAGCAGGTGCGCCGGTGCTGGATACGTTTTGCTCTCTGGGCAAAACGTTTTGGAGATACTTGTTGGATATATCTTCTATATTATTTGTTAATGGGACGTACTTTGGAGGGAAGAGCAGGCTCAATCTCTCTTGAAAGAGATTACCGTCACAATATATATATATATATATATATATATATATATATATATATATATATATATATATATATATATATATATATATGTACATATATATATGTATACGTATATATCCTGGAAGTTGAAGGTATTCAATATATGAGGAAGGGAGTGAAAATGCCGTACCAATCACAGGGCGTCGCTGTGGACTCGTGTGGCGCCGTAATTGGTGGTTGGCGGTGGTTACAGTCTGGCGGGATATGACAGCTTTACGCGGAGAAGTTTTTAATGTCAGATTTCAAAATACATTTATTTTATTCCCGGATTTTTACTGTTTCTCTGTAACCAGAGTGTGACCTGTATAATGTTGTTGTTGTTGTTGTATTAGTGTGTCCTGTATATATATTGGTGTACTGTGAGCTGATAATATTGTATTATCTACTGGAATGTTCCTAGTCAGTGTTGTATTGTGAACAGTTTGGGAGTCGTATACACCGTTCTTATTCATCAATAGCAGGTTAGGCGAGTGGATTAATGAGCATTTGTTCTGTGTTGAAGAGGCTGTAAAGAGAATAGGAAGAGAAGGCATCGCTAAATCAACACAGAAGGAAGATATATGATAATATGTAATGTTTATTGTTGATATATATATAATAGGGGGAGGAGACGGGTAGAGGGGGGGAGGGGGGGGAAGAAAGACCCCCCCCTCCCTCCCCAGTTAGCGGCAGGAGGCTAAGTGGTTGGGCAGGTCCAAAGATGGCGGCACGAGGCAGCTCTAAGAGGGCAGTTAGCCGCAGTGGTCGTTAACACCCGGGTGCCAGGCAGGGTCTTCACATTGACACCCTCACGTTAATGTGGCCGTGTGATCACTTCCACATATCCTGCAGGGGGGGGAGGGGGGGGGGGGTTGTTAACTGCGGGAGGTATTACAAATAGTGAACAACAGATGTATATAAACCTTATGCAGGCGATGAGTCACAATAACGGGGCTGAAGTATGTTGACCAGACCACACACTAGAAGGTGAAGGGACGACGACGTTTCGGTCCGTCCTGGACCATTCTCAAGTCGATTGAGAATGGTCCAGGACGGACCGAAACGTCGTCGTCCCTTCAACTTCTAGTGTGTGGTCTGGTCAACGTATATAAGCCTCTACAACGATGGTCTATAGATGAATTTGATTAAAATTAATAATTTCTGTCTGTTCAGTGAGTGATGAGTATTATTCCGGACAGCTGGACGACGCGGCCCTGCAGGCCTACCGGGACGGCGACTACGGGACGTACCTGGACTTGGAGTCCTCTCTAGCCGAGCAGACGGAGGACATCGAGGGCCTTACTGACAGGTAAGTCCCTCCTCCTCTCCTTACACCATGTTCTTCATGCCTGCTTCTCCGTCTTGAACCTGTTCGAGCCCCGCGGCACCCTGGACACGTTAATGGCCTCCTCCCCCCTTCTCGCCCCCCCCCACCTGGGGTTTGAGCAACTGTTGTGGGTTGTATCCTGCAGGTGTGCTAGGGGGGGGGAGGGGGGGGGGTGTCAACAGGGATGCAAGTTGTGAGAGGTTGTTCAGTGTTGATAAATTTATGGGTGTGTGAGCCTTGAGCAGCGTGTGCAACACTGTGCCGAGGTTGTGTGTATACCTGTACACATGTGTCAGGTGTAGACATCTGTCAGGTGAAGACACCTGTCAGGTGTTGACACCTGTCAGGTGTAGACACCTGTCAGGTGTAGACACCTGTCAGGTGTAGACACCTGTCAGGTGTAGACACCTGTCAGGTGTAGACACCTGTCACGTATATAGATGTATATCCATATTTTCTGGGAGCGGCCCTCTCAGAGACAGGGCCGCAAGAGCATTGATCCTGGGAACCACCTGTGAGGTAATATGAGGGGCCCCCCTCACCCCCTCTCTCTCTCTCTCTCTCCCCCCCCTCTCTCTCACCCCCTCTCTCTCTCACTCCCCCTCTCTCTCACACCCCCCTCTCTCTTGCCCCCCTCTCTCTCGCCCCTCCCTCTCTCTCACCCCCCCCCTCTCTCTCTCACTCCCCCTCTCTCTTTCTCTCACCCCCTCTCTCTCTCACCACCCTCTCTCTCTCTCTCTCTCACCCCCTCTCTCACCCCCCCCTCTCTCTCTCTCTCACCCCCTCTCTCTCTCACCCCCCTCTCTCTCTCACCTCTCACCAGGAGTGAGGAACTCCTCACGGCCTTGGGGCGTAGAGTTGGACCTCGTTAGTACAGGGGGCGACGGACTCGGGTCTCCGGAGCCTCCGTCTCCACTGCGGGCTTCAGCCCTTGGGCCCCGTCTTCCCTTGACGGGTTGTGAGGCGGTTGTCACGCCTCCTGACCCTCTAGCTTGTTGGTGGTGGGACGTTGTACAGACGGGTTCCTTCTCCCTGACCGCTGCTCTTTCCTCTTGTCTCTCCCTCCCTCCTAACCCCTCCCTCTCTCCCTCTCTTTCTCTCTCGCCAAGCCTCTCCCTCTACACACTCCGTCTCTACCCTTCCTTCCCTTTCCCTCTATCTTTCCCTCCCCCCCCCCCTCCCCTCACTGACCAGAGGTAACTAGGTCACCAGAGTCCACATCCACACACACTTTCGTCCCCCCTCCCCCCCTCTTCCCCTCTATTCCTTGCCCCAGTCCCCTCTTTTAGTTCCCTTTCTCAGCCTACACCCTTTTTTCCCCATTATTCCTAGCTCCCTCTTCCATCCTACCTCCCTTACCTCTTTTACTCTGTCTCTTCCTTCCTCCCTCACACCCCCCCCCCCCCCCCCAACACCTAGCCTAAGAACGGCAGGTGTGTACGGCACGACAGGTGTGTGTGGGGTGCGACCCGGGCATGTTGAGCACGTGCCCAGCGGTAATTACTGGGAAAAATGTTATCTTTTTCACTGGTGCCAACCCGCGACCCGGGCATGTTGAGCACGTGCCCAGCGGGCACGTGATCTTAACAGGGGGGGGGGAACCGTGAAATGATATCAGGAAAACAGTAGCGTACTGCTAACAGTAAGAGTAGGGCACTGTTAACGGGAGAAATAGTAGTTTACTGTTTACGGTTAAAACCTAATATTTGACCGAACAGTAAGAGATTATATTAATGGAAAAACGGCAGTTTTTATAACGGGAGAAACAGAAGAGTTGTCTGTTAACGGGTTAAATAAAACAGTACTTTGTGAAAGGGCCAAAAAATTTAATTGTGGAAAAACAGAAGAGGTAATTGACAACGGCATCTGGCATACCATTAACGGGGGCAACAGGAGAGGTGATTGACAACAGCAGCTGGTGAACAGTTAACGGGGGAAACAGAAAAGGGCGTTGACAACGGCAGCTGGCGTGCCGTTAACAGGGAAACGGAAGAAAAATTCGCCATATGGCATCATCGTCGTGGGGTTCATTCACAAAACTATCGGTCATTGAGGCGGTGTCCACGTGTCACCACGCGCTTAATTTATCACTAATATATTATACATCCGTTGTTGTAGTAGTGTTAGTAAAATTGTATTTTATGATGCGATATGAACAAAAAATAATAAAAAAAAGTCGTGTTGCCATATCTTCTAAAGCAAATATATGTAATATTTTGGTCGCATTATTGCCAGATGTCGCCAAGCAAAAACTCGTTGTTTGCTGCATGTCTTTTGTTTTGTTTTGGGGTGTTTGAAGCGAGTAATTGTGCTTGTGAATGAACGATTTGTTTGGATATGGTGTTTTAAACGTGCTTGGTGTGGGAGTACTAGTAGTGAATGACGGTTTTGGCAGCAGGTGGATGAGGAATGAATGACCTACAATAGCGACTAGGTGGCAACAATGGGCGGAGTCCAGTATGTTGTGAATGGTGGACCGAGTCCTCATACACATTTCACTCTCAAGTCCTATCTATATACACCCAGGTGTGTATTCCTATACTCGGTGTATAGTCACTAGGAGTTCTCGGTCTGGGGTTTGTTTATATAGGTTGTGGTGGTGTTAATAACCCTTCAGAGGTTGGTATAGGCTTTGCATCATGCCACTCGCGATGGTGTAAGGTTGTATAGGCCTATAGTGGGTGGGTGGGGTAGGGGGGGGGGGTAATGCTCTGGTTTGTTGGTCACTGGTTCTTCTTCTTCCTGGTGACGGAAGGGCGACACTGGACTTGTTCTGTCCCGTTGACAGTCTGGTGTTTAGTGAGGTGATTATTGTGGGACTTGGAGCCTGTGTGTGGTACACACACACACACACACACACACACACACACACACACACACACACACACACACACACACACACACACACACACACACACACACACACACACACACACACCTGCAGGTGTGTGTGTGTGTGTGTGTGTGGAGGAGGAAGAGAGTGTGGCATGTGTGTACCATGTTGGGACAGACAGGGTTAACATCAGTGATGTTGGTGAGGCGATGTTGCGGTGTGTCCTCTCCTCCGCCCTCTGGGAGCAGTGTGGACCACAACTCAACACTATGGCACTCAATATTTCTGGAAATCCCAAACTATACAGCCTGTTCACCCTTCTCTTTCTTGTCTAATTTGTGTCGCCTGGTCATTGAATTGTATTAAACCTCTGAGACAAGATTTACCATCCCTGAACCCATGCTGATGTTGTGTTACAAAGTTCTTTCCAGATGTTCTAGTAGTTATATATCTTCCTTATCACGTTGCATGATATGCAAGTTAGGGACACTGGCTTGTAGTTCAGTGCCTCCTGTCTGTCTCCCTTCTTGTATATCGGGACTACATTATCCGTCTTCCAAACTTTTGGCATTTTTCCTGTTAATAGTGGCTTGCTATACTCCACTGAGTGCAGTAGGCACAGTGTTTCTGCTCCTTATTTTAGTGTCCATGGTGAGGTTCAGTTTGGGCCAACAGCTTCTGCCACATACAATTCCAGCAACTGTTTCTCTACCTCCCCTCTGGTAATTCTCTAACTTCTCCAGTGGTGTTTGGTTAGACATCCTTGCTCTATTGTGAAGACCTCCTGGATTCTCTTACTGAGTTCCTCGCACACTACCTTGTCATTTGTAGTGAACCTGTCTACTCCTGTCCTCAGTTTAATTACCTGCTCCTTCACTGATGTTTTTCCTTCTGATGTGGCTGTGCAGCAGTTTGGGTTGAGTCGTTGCTTTACTTGCTGTGTTATTTTCGTACAGTCTTTCTGCCTCTTTTTCTCTGCCTCACTGAGGTACTCATTCCTGACACTCTGGTATCTTTCTGCTCTCTGGCGTCCTGTTATTTGTAGTTTCTCTATGTCCTTGTACCTAGTTGCTTTGCCAGCTTGCATCCCTGATTAACCCGCGGAGCTCCTCATTTCCATTTAGTTTTTTTCCCTTTGAACTGGGAGACACGTGTGTGTTCCTCCTGACACTTGTGTGTTCCTCCTGACACGTGTGTGTTCCTCCTGACACGTGTGTGTTCCTCCTGACACGTGTGTGTTCCTCCTGACACGTGTGTGTGATGTTGTCCATCATGTCCTGGCCGCGGCCTCTCCTCTCACCTCTCTCACTATGGTGTTGCTTTTAGCAGTTTTCTCATCTCGTAGTTTCCCTATCGGTGTGTGTGTTCACCTAGTTGTGCTTGCAGGGTTGAGTTTAGGCTCTTTGGTCCCGCCTCTCAACCGTCAATCAACTGGTGTACAGATTCCTGAGCCTATTGGGCTCTATCATATCTACACTTGAAACTGTGTATGGAGTCAGCCTCTACCACATTACTGCCTAATGCATTCTAAGTTTTAACTACTCTGATACTGAAAAAGATCCTTCTAATGTCTCTGTGGCTCATCTGGGTACTAAGTCTCCACCTGTGTCCCCTTGTTCGTGTCCCACCCGTGCTGAAGAGTTTGTCTTTGTCAACCCTGTCAATTCCCCTGAGAATTTTGTAGGTGGTTATCATGTCTTCCCCTCCACTTACAAAATTCTCACGGGAATTGACAGGGTGGACAAAGACAAACTCTTCAACACTGGTGGAACACGAACAAGGGGACACAGGTAGAAACTTTGTACCCACATGAGCCACAGGGACATCAGAAAGAACTTTTTCAGTGTCAGAGTAGTTAACAGATGGAATGCATTAGGCAGTGATGTGGTGGAGGCTGACTCCATACACAGTTTCATATGTAGATACGATAGAGCCCAGTAGGCTCAGGAACCTGTACACCAGTTGATTGACAGTTGAGAGGCGGGACCAAAGAGCCAGAGCTCAACCCCCCGCAAACACAAATAGGTGAGTACACACATAGGAAGCAGCCCGTAACAGCTGTCTAATTCCCAGGTACCTATTTACTGCTAGGTAACAGGGGCATTCAGGGTGAAAGAAACTCTGCCCATTTGTCTGGGCCTAGTCCGGG